AAAACAGCAACCTTGGGGAAGACCCCGCAGAAACAGGCGGACCCTGACGATCGAAGACAAAGGCATACCCTCCAGGGCTTGAAGGCAACTGACGCCTTAGAAAGAAATCCAAAATTGGAAAGATAACAGCTCCACAAAAACAAGGTCATCTCGCTCCACTTTTTCACTCGTAGAGCTGGATCGTATCTCGTAGCCCACACGAAGCGGAGGAAATCAGTAAGCCAATGATTTACAATCTAATGCAGAATGATTGAATTGGCAGAATTCCGACTAGGGGAGGTTCTTATATCCCTATTACACTCATAAAGACCTTGAACACGTACATCTTCTCGCAGAATGGAGCAAGTACTACTAGTAGCATTGATTTTTAATACAACTCCTGGACCACGTCTTGCGTCGGTGATGGGTATTGGTGATCATAATTTTATGCTATTTCTCAATTGTGGTTTGTATATGACAAACTAGTATATTCGATGATAAACTTGAAGTCATTCCAGATTCCACGGTTTTATCATGGCCTTTCCCAACTACCTTCCTATTATTCTTCACACCAGCAATATAAACCCAGTTGGCATTTGCATCAGGTGCGTGAATAAAATCCTTACTGATTTTCACGAACGAAGGGGCTCCTCCATAGCACCACTGGCACGCTGCGCTCTTTTAACCTAGGAAGTTATCACTCCACCTTCATAACGCACCTCCAGGGCTACCAATTCTATTCACGACCCCGTTTTATCCCCGTCTGCAGACTCGTGGGTCAACACCGCGGATCTGGCAATACCCTTCACATATGCAAATTGCAATTTGGCAGCGAAGACGGCACCGTTGAGTCACAGACTAAATAAAGGGAGGGATTAGCCGTTTCCTTAATGTGATGTCTTGCGGAGTGTCTTCGGCGAGTTTGCTATGGACTCTACTCGGGGAATTGACTTCGATCTCGTCCCGAAGCTGAGACATTCGGGGATTCTGGACGAATTTGGGCTTCAGTATCATGTAGAGGAGTTTGCTAAAATGAGGTTGGATGTCCATTTACGTCTCCGAATCCCATTCGATGACTACTTTGACTCGTCTACCACTTGGCTCATGCCAGAGGATAAGAAAACTGACCAATATGGATATGCAACTACTACTACCAAGGTAAGCGCAAGTGAAATTTTCGCGATGAACAGCTGCTTGCTGAAGGACCGGATGAAATCTCAATCAAGTGTCGCAAACTCTTCGTTTATTCACTGAATGGCTTGGTGATAGCAAGCGACATGCCAATGCCAACGGGGCGGTTTATCTCCCACCTTACACAAGGATGTCAACGCGGCCACTGGATTTTGTGGCAGAGACCGGGGAGGTCAATAAAAGATTGGAAGAATAACTGAGTCGGCAGGGTTTTGTTTAATTCCATATCAACTCGAACCTACAGTAGAATGGGCTGTGGCAGACTGGTCCCTCATACACTAGCAGGGGTTGGCTAGACCTACTAACTAGTAGTACCCAGTAAGCAAAACATCTACAAGCTAGCAGTGAACAGAAACAAAGTCTCAATTCACTCATTCGCACACATGCAACATCATTAAGTCAAGAACTTTTGGTCCTATTGAGTGAGCGGGCCTTGCAAAACAGCTTAGGTTCCCCTCGCAGATCATACGACGACTGTCTATTCACAGAAAACGACATACACACCCCGCACCCAAAAACGTGGGGGGATAAAGAATAACCGAGTCATAATGGGAATAATGACACGAGAGACATAATCAAAAATCAAAACGCAAACGCCCGACACCATTGTGCACCCGGTATGGAAACCAATTTGACGATGATTAAGAATGGGTCTTGATTCGTCGCCCGTAGCAGTAGCAGCAGTGGGGCTGGGGCCCTTAACGGCGCTGGGTCTTGCCCATACCGCGCTTTCCGGAGAACTGTTGGAAAATGTGTTAGATGATATATCAGGGAAAGAAGAAAGGATTAGGGAACATACCAAGTGCTTGGGCAGAGACACGGGGGTGTGACGATCGGCCTCACCAGCACGAGCCATGAGGTTCATCTGCTTCTGGCCCAGCTTCATCATGCGCTCGGCCTTGTCCTTGCTGCCGAAGGAAGTAACACCGTCGTGGCGTCTGTCAGTAGCAGGCTGGCTGCGAGCGCGGCTCTTAGCGCGAGCAAGGGCCTTGTGGGGGTCGTCAAGGTCCATAGCATCATCATCGTTCTCCTCACGACGAATCGAAGTCCGGCCACGGCCCTGGCTCTGGGCACGGGCGCGGTCGCCAGCGGCATCCACGTCGTAACCGGCGGAGTCGAGCGCGCGCTGCATCTGGGACAGCCTCTTGGACTTGGCGCTGCGGGGGATGGGCGCGCGGTTCTTGAGCGACTTGCGCATCTTGGCGTCGTTCTTCATGAGGACGCGCTTCTCGCGGATCAGGTTGGCCTTCATGCGGTTGTCGGCGTCCTCGGCGTCCTCGACGCTCTCGTCCGAATCGTAGTAGCCGTCGGCCTGCATCTTCTCTTCCTCCTCCTCCAGAGCAGCCAGTTTCGTCTCGATATCGGGGTCCACGAAATCGTAAATGTTCTTTCCGTTCCAGACCTCGGGGATCTTGTCGTGGTTCCACTCGGGGTTGGCCAGGGTGTAGTCGCGTTGCATGTCGAAGCTGTAGACACCGGCACCACCGTTCTCCTCCTCCAGATCGCGCTCCAATGTTCGGCGGTTGGGGTCGTTCTTGTCGTACTTCTTGAGGTTCTTGACGGCCTCGGGGATGAAGGTTTCCCGAACAACGCCGTTCATGGGCCTGGCAACGTGGATACGGGCCAGGACATCGCCCAGACGGCCACCGGGGGTGTCGGCAGCAGTGTTGGAGCCAGACTTGAGCTTCTGGGCCACTCGCTCAGCGAGCAGCTTGTCACAAGCAGCATTCTTAACGGCACTCACACCCTCGGTGGTGGTGCAAGAAGCCTGCAGAAGCTCGACATCATCCGCCCTGAGGATGTTCTGCAGCTCCTCTTGCTGCTCGGGATCCAGATCTTCGGGGCGGCGAACATCAATCTTGTTAATGACAATGAAGACAATCTTGTTGGCGAACAGAGGCTTGATGCTGTGGTAGAGCTTGATCTGGTCGGTGACGGAGTAACCGCACTGCTCAGAAAGATCCATGAAGTAGAGGATAGCAGAGCGCAAGTGAGCAACGGCGGTGATCGACTGCATTTCAATGGTGTTCATCTCCTCCAGAGGGTGGTCGAGAATACCGGGGGTATCAATAGCCTGGAAACGCAGGTACTTGTAATCGAAGTGACCGACGAATAGCGACTTGGTGGTGAAAGCATAGGGCTGGACATCGACATCGGCGCGGGTGATGTTTTGCAAGAAGCTGGACTTGCCGACATTGGGGTAGCCGCAAATCAGCAGAGTACGGGTGTTGGGGTCGATCGCAGGGAGACGGCCCAAATGCTGGCGGACCTGCTCCAGATAGACGAGGGGATCCTTAAGACGACGGCAGATGGTGGCCATGCGACCAAGCGCAGCACGCTTCAGCTGCTTACACTGGAACAGCGATTGCGCATACTTGATAAGACGGACGTAATCACGGGAGACAGTTTCGATCAGGTGCTTGGCGGTCGAAACTTGACCGAGGGCAATGCGGAAGTGGTCGGCATCATAGAGGGTGTTCATCAAATCCTTGTCTGGGCGATTGTTAGCCCTTCACTCCGAGTAGCAGAACTGGGAAAAAAGAACTTACGGAAGGGATGAATGTCCTGGAGGCGAGGAAATCCATCGAGGATAGCCTGGAACTTCTCACAGAAGGTCTCCTGGGTGTACTTGACCTTACGGGTGTAGAAACCTGTCATAAGAAAATTTGATTAGCGATAACCCTTTATCGATAACCCGATCGCCCGAAGCGTCTTTTTTTTTGTCGGTCTCCATGGAAATCGGGCTTTGCTGAAAGATAGAGAGTAAAATACCTCTGATACGGCTGATCTTGAAACCAGCACGAATTTGTGTGGGAAGCTGGCGCTGGGTACGACTGAGGACGATGTCCAGGAATTCCTGGTTGGTGGGCACCGGCGCAATCTGGCGGTCAAAAAGATCAGTTGGAGATTCTCGAGGGATTCGGGGGGTGGAACATTTCGGCGGAGAGAAGAGAGTAACTTACATCCTTCCAAGTAGTCTTCATGATGGGCCACAGGAGTCAAGCAAGGAATGGACTGACTCTAGAGTGGGAGGTTGTTGGGGGGTCCGCTCATTTGATTTCCCCGACGAGAAAACGAAAAAATTGTTTGTCGGACATTTCTGCCGGGCGGTGGACAAATGCGGGGGTCGTGACTGGATGCCCAGGTGTGGCGATTAACCGAGTATTGATTCTTCAAAGTTTTCTGTATTTTCAGTTTAGTTGGTCGGGGGATTTGGTTTGATTTAAACCTATTTTTGGGCATTAGCAGTTATGGCGATAGTATAGTGGGAAAATGGAGCGGTAGAAGTTGATGGCGTTTGGGCTTAGATATGGGCCATAGTATATCTGATACTAGTAGTACTAGTAGTACGAATACTCCCATGGCAGTACTACTAATACTCTGCATGAACTATTTACTACTGTCTCTTATCATCCACACTCGGTCGAAAAATTATTGAGGTTTTATTGTTTATATTTCAAGGGAAGGGGGTGCCCATGTACATTGCATTCCGAATATGGTACACAAACCCTTGTTCCATGAGACTCGTAAGACTGGCCATCACAATCCCATCCCAGTAAAAAAAAAAGCGAAGAAAAAAACGGGGGAAATAAAACTGAAACAAAATAGGAAACAAACTCCGTTTTCTTTCGAGCCCGAAGACCAAAACCGATGACCGGACATGAACTGCGTTGAGGGGGACATGAGGGAGATAAAATAGGAAAAATCATTTGTAGAAGAAATCGGACAAAAAGGAGTACCAGCAGACCGAACCTGATCTTACACGGTTCACGCCGAAAAGATGCATGCGAACAAAAGAAACCTGTTTAATCAAGAAACAATTCTGGTTCTTAGTTCTGCAGCGGCTCTTGAGGAAGCTCCAAGATCTATACCATCACAAGTTAGAATATGTCATCAAGCGTCAAAAATCCCGAAAATGACTTACCAGATCTCTCCAACCACCGCCACCAAATTGGCACTTGCTCTCACCACGGTCCTCAAATCCAAATGACTTGTAGAAATCTACCAGATGGTCGTGAGCGATGATCGCGATCCGGTCGGCAATCTGAGCTTCCCGAATACGGTGGATATACGACTTCATCAGGGTGCTGCCAACTTGCTTGCCCTGGTGCTCTTCCAGTACGGCCAAAGAGTGGATAGCGATGGTACCGCCACCCTCCTCGTGACCAACAGCCTCTCCATCCTCAAAGGTCCAACGCTCGCCTTGCCACTTGGAAGGGAGCTTCATGGAACGGTCGGTGACACAGGGCTCCGAAGTGCGGGTGGCAATGATGTGGCCGATCAGTGTCGCGGGGGGGCTTGGGGTCACCAGCCTTGATGATGGGGAGGGTGAACATTCCCAGGCTAAGCTCGGGGCAGCGGCTCAGACGGTAGATGAACTATTCACAAGGAACCAAGTTAGCCACGGCACCTTCTTGTGAATTATTGACCATCTTCTGCTTGGTCTGATGAAATCACCTAGCGATTCAACCGGACCAAAGAGAATCAGATAAGACAAGTACTTACTTTGTCACGCGAGCAGCGCTCATTCTCAGGGAAGGCTTGCTCGACCGCGATACAGTCTTCGACATTAGACGCGGAGAGCAGCTGAACGAAGGGGTGCAATTCATCGAGCTTGGTGCGGTGATGAGTCGGGGACGGCGGAACCAAACAGGGTAGTCATTGGCATCATCCTGGTCGACAGCGACGTAGTCCTCATCCACCTCCTCGTCAATCTCATCGTCGTCTTCCAGGGGGAAACCATTGGACAGAGAAATTCCGGCGCGGCTCATGAAGCGAGACAGGTCGCTATTGCTGGGGTTCGGCAGGGCCATATCCTCGACATTGGACAAGGGCTTCAGACCAGAGGTTTCGGGGCCGGGCATGGACTCCGAAGATCGGTCGCTAGGATCAGACATGGTGAAGGGCGAAAGATGGAGTTATCGACCGGGGCAGTCGATGAGGTGTAAATTGAAGATTGAAAAGGTGATCGCGTGTGGATAGTAGCGCACGTCCACGGTTTTTTGCAGGGGGGGTCCCGGTTCGGTGGTGGGTGGTATTGGTGGGGGGATCGAGGGATGCAAATCTGGACCGGTGGGGATTTAGTACGGAGTATGCAGGTGACAGAAGGTGGACAAAGCTGGCCAAAGAAATGGGAAACCACGCCTGGAGCCTCACGCCGCCCTCAGCGCCATGACTGAGGTCATGAATCACTGCAGCTGCGATTGGTGGCTGCAGATAAGAATCTGCGACGCGGGCGGTCCCAGTGTGCGCGCAAGGAGGGGGTTTGTCGGAAGGGCAGGGGAAGGCAAGCAGGGCAGGGCAAGGCGGGATGAAGAGGACAGGGAGGGAAGGGATGCAAAGGAGGAAGGACAAACCTCGAAATAACGGAAGGAGGTACTGTTCAAAGTGCCACTGGAGGAATAGAAAGGAAGCAAAAGATGGAAGCAAAAGCTAAGATGGGAAGTGGCGGGGGAACCTATCGGTACCGCCAGTCACAGCGGGATCGCCCTCAAGTGGAAAGTACTACCCCGTACCAAAGCGGTCAGTACTACTCCGTACAGATGAGAGTATCTCTGGCGATACTGGCGACACTGGTGACACTTGATAATAAAAGGTACTACCTTTGAATTGGTTTGAACTATGTACATGTTAGAAATTAGGTTCGTGTTATCTGGAACACGCCTGAGAAGTCAAAGTCAAGGCTGACCAGACCTTGGTCTTCACCACGCTCTAGACAACGCAACGCTTCGAATTTGACGCCCACGTAACGCAGAAGCTGTTCTGACAATCTCCAGATCTAGTGCAGTGGGAACCAAGGCAGTTACTAGTAGCATCAGGGCGAAGAGGGGAAGCACAGCAACCATGAGGACCACCACAGACCTCCGTGCCAGGAGGACAGCTAGAGGTAGTAGGACATTTCCCCGTGCCCTTCTCTTTCAGACACTCCTTGGTAACATCTGCCTTGTCAGTATTACCAACGAATGCAAAAGATGCATCGAAGTGCTCACAAAGGTCATCGGAAGCGATGCCAATGACAACTTCATCCATATCCTTCAGGTAGTACCCTCCATTCCCAGGGTAGAGAAGTGTGTCAAGGTTGTTCTTGGCCAGATCGCTGAGGGACTCTTGGTTGTGGAAGATAACGACATCACTTGGGGGTACGGTGTGGTGGCGCTCAAGTCCTTCGGTCACAATGGCTCGAGCTTCGTTGTTCGAGTAGCGAATTGTGTCAGAGTTTACCTTGGCCAAATTGTTGAGAGAGTGTTCATCGCGAACAACAACGGCGTCGCCGGGGGGTATGCCCTGGTAGAGGCTGCGTCCTTCAGCCATCGTGGCTAGAAGGATCAGGAAGGGAACAAGAGTGCAGATGATCTTCATCTTGAACTCGTCGGGTGTTCTGTAAGTTGTTAGTAGCTCATTCGTCTCATTGCACCTGCAGTCAACTATCCACACCCATGTGGAACTTCTCTCACTTACGCTGTGGAAACGATCTTTGTGTGGTTGAGCTTTAGATGAAGCCGTCAGTTGATGGGCATGAAGGAGTGAGTGATCCAAAGGGACGTGACATACCTTGCTAGTGATGGGGAAAGATTGTGGGAAGAGAAGGAAGGTAAAGATGGGAACAAAAGGTCCATGGAATGACCGAGTCCGTCCTCCGAGACTACTACCAGTAGGTTACCATAGTACAGTATAAACATGAGATAGTCCGCACGGCAGCTTTGAGCTCCTGTCTATTACTAGCCCATTTTTGCTGCAAGCTTCCTAGAAGCTCTTATTCTCGCGTAAGCGTTCAAAAAAGGTTGTTGGTGCTGCTAACCGCTAGGCCATCACGTAAGGGTGAGAGAGATGATCGCAGAGAAATATGTGTATGAATGTGAAACTATCTGAGCTCAAAGGATCACAGCCTGTGCAATGGGACAAACGCTCTGGCTGTGCACCAGGCTAGCTAGTAGTAGTGAGAACTTGAATATTATACACCTTTTAGTACTATCCATGATATAATTCTGATTGCTTAACTAAAATTTAGAGAAAATGCTAGTCAATACTACTGAATTTCCAGCACAGGGCTCTAACCAGGCATCTCCCCCAGTGTGGGGAAAAGGGTGGTGGTTCTTGATTTGGACAGCGACTTGAACTCGGGCGGGATGTGGTTGAAGGGTAATCTCCTAGCCCTACTCCGGCTTTATTTTTAGCTATGTATAGTCCAAGAGTCCTATGCCACAGAGCCTGACCAATCTTCGAGGCTTCGGTAATTGATAATGAATCAGCCGAGTGTCATGTCTTTATGGGGCTAGTGCAAAGCATGATTCCCATTATCCAGCTATGCTCGACTTCTTTCCTACGTTCACAGTCGGTCACTACAACTCGTTATTGAGACAAGCAGACAAATCCATGGAAAGGCTTCTGTGTGGCAGAGTCCTCTAGATTCTACTATCTATGTTTTTTTGGAAGACTAAATATACCTAGGTATACAGCATCATACTAGTACTCAGCATAGCTCGAAATTAGATTCACGTAGCCCCTGCTTAGGCACACACAGACTCGGAGATTCCTTCTTAAATCCTCCATTGAAACCTTGAAACATCCATCGTTATACTTATGAGTACAGTTGACCTACCCCCACACAACTTTCCTTACTGAGTATTCCAGTACCTAGGTAACTAGGGCTACGTACGCTTATCAATAACAGGGTAATAGTAGTTAACGGTGGTATAATAAGCTTATCTAGCCTCAAGGGCTTCTATAATATTACTAGTACTAGTACTAGTCACTTCCTCCACCTAGCATTTATCATCTACTGCACAGAGGAGCCTTGTAATCTTCAATAGCCCCATCGAGTTCACCAAGCCAAGCCCCGCCAAGTTTCGGCGACAGGGATCCCGAGTCTGCAGACGTACGTTAAAGCTGCCCCGCTAGGTGGATGTCACACAATCTCCATGAGTGGATTGAAGCAGCCAATACCACCACCGCACCGAGAAGATTGAATCCCAAGTTGATCTGATAATTCACGCAGCTAAGACATAAAACAACGGGGGAGATGTTGATAGGCTGCGGCTCGAGTAAATTTAGTTTTTATCGGAATGATATCGTCAGGCGGTGAAGCCCAGCCGAGGATGCGTCATGCCCCAGTCAATTTACTTCTCTTTCTCTCTTTTTCTTTTTTCTTGGGATAATTGAGCTGGCCCTTTGGTCCCTATTCTTACGAGGCTGCTGCGCTGTTCCCCTCGTACACACCGGTCAGGTCTCTGGTGGTTCGAAAAATGAGCTCTCGGGTCCTTAACTTGTCTCGCACTGCCCAGGCCGCGCGAGCTAACGTGAGTCTTGATGGCATCTCCGAATACTTCCATTTCCCCGAAGCTGACCATGAAACGCTCCAGCAACATGTCGCTCGTTCCAATGACTCCGCAGCGGTGCGCCCAGTGCAGTCGCTTCCAAGAGCGCACCAGATTGCGGAATTCTCCAACACCAGTCCAGCCAACGATCGGCTAGGACAGCGGGCTAAAGAGAAGCTCCTAGATCGGGTGTGTTATCCGCTCATGATACTCGGCATATATAGTCAATTGCTGATGTGAATTTCCCAGGATTTCTTCCTCAGCTTGCTGAGCTCTGCTTCCACCAAGCGTGAAGCTAAGTCATACTTGTCTCGCTTCAAGAACAACCCTCCCAAGACAGCCGCCCAACCCGCGAATGAACAGGAAGTCCCTACGGAGAACCTATCGGAGTCCTTGCCCTCCGGTGTCAACCTGGGCTCATTTTACGGTGCTACGAGAGCCGTCTACGATAGCCCGGTTTTTCGACAAAATACTACACCTGCACCACAGGGCCAAGAGCCCGCGGAGCGGCTTCATTTAGCCTTGGTCAAGATCACCAACCCCCCAGTCTCTCGACGATGAGGTGTTGGCCGGTGTCGCGCGAACTCTATCTCAGCTCATACGCCTGGGGATGGGATGTCTTGTAGTAGTCGACCCAGGAAAGATGGACGGCACAGCCATGCGACAAGTAGCTATCGACCAGGCTAATCGGATTTCGGCGGCGGTCGACGAACAGCCCGATTCCAAATCATTTCGTCTGGACTCGGCACTTTCCCTTTCCGAAAAGGACCCAGGACTTCCTACTGTCATGTCCCGAAAGGCCCTTTTAAGCCCGCTCCGTGATGGCCATGTCGTTATTGTCACACCAGTTGCATATCTAGAGGAGAACCCCCGAGCCGTCCCAGTGTCTGCAAATGATGCCGTGCTTGCATTGACGAAGGAATTCGCGGGATTGTCCACGGTTCCTGATCCCGATGAAGACCCTGCTTTCACTGCGGAACGAATCGATGCCCTGCAAAAGGAAGTCTCACTAGACCGAGTGATTCTTTTACATCCTCTCGGTGGCATTCCTGCCTTCAGGGGACCCCAGTCATCTCATGTCTTCATCAACATGGAGCAAGAATTCGATGAAATCGAAGAAGAATTGACCGAGACTCGAGAATCAATCGCCGGAAACGCGAAGGTGACAGCGCCCCGTGAGGACATAGGACCTGCATCTGCTTTATTAGACAGCAACCCATTCTCAAAATTCGTCAATGCAGACGTAATCTCGCCTCTTCCCGGGCAATCCAACCAGCTGCCGGGCGCGGAGGCGATGTCGGTTCTTCTGGATGGTCATTTGGAAAACCTCCGCCTATCACAACAAACTCTCGCAATGCTGCCATCCGCCTCCTCTGGCATCATTGCGTCTCCTCACGAAATATCTAACTCAGCTCGATCCCCCCCAGAGTGCCCCGTCGGACCTGTCTGCTGTTGGAACTCGGCGCCAGCGCAATCCTCTCATTCACAATCTTCTCACTGATAAACCTCTCCTATCGTCCTCACTTCCACCAGGGCGCCGTGCTGCTGGATCCAGCCGGCCCAGTGCTATCAGTCCACTTCCGCCTCATACCACATTTGTGAAAAGAGGCATGCCCCTCACCCTCCTCCCCAACCCATACACCCAAATTTGGACCGCCCAGAGTCAACCGCGTCTGCAATTGAACGACCCATCAATCGACCTCCCCCGACTCGTCCAACTCATTGAAGATTCCTTCGACCGCAAACTCGATGTACATGATTACTTGGAACGCGTGAACGACCGTATCGCCGGTATCATCGTCGCAGGCGAATACGAAGGCGGCGCAATTCTCACATGGGAAACACCACCCGGCGTAATCGACGACGGCAGTCCCGAAAACGCCGCACGAATGGTTCCGTACCTGGATAAATTCGCAGTCCTCAAGCGCAGCCAAGGTGCCGGTGGTGTGGCAGACGTCGTGTTCAACGCAATGGTACGCACATGCTTTCCCGATGGGGTCTGCTGGCGTAGCCGCAAAGATAACCCCGTGAACAAGTGGTATTTTGAGCGGTCATGTGGCTCTTGGAAGCTGGCTGATAGTAATTGGACGATGTTTTGGACTACGCCTGGTTTACCGGAGGATACACAGCGATTCCAGGATTATGAGGCTGTTTGCCGGGCTATTCAGCCTAGTTGGGCTGATAATAAAAGCGTTATTGATTAGGTGCATAGAAAGATGGTTGGTATCCCATTGTGTATAGTAGCCCTCGGGGTGAGGGTGATTGGGGATATGAGTGTGAATATAGAACAGATTGTGAATAATTGAATAGTTCAATAGTTCAGCACTTGAAGATCAAGATAAATTTCTATCCAATATGTAATAATCACAATAGCACTTAATGTATTGGTGAAGTACTCTCTACTGCAGTGGGCCAGTCTAGAACGCGTCCCGCACTCCGCCCTCACAGCTAAGCAATTTCCCCCCGATTCCCCCATCCTCCTCCACAGCGTCATGGGATGACACGATGCCTATCTGCATCGAATGTTCCTATCCGGTCTCGCACCTGTATAGCGCATACAGTCGCGCAGATGACCGCTCTCAAGGGAAAGGCGTGCGATTGACCCAGTGTCCGCGCTGCCAGCGCTTCGCCGACAAATACGTTGAATATGACTTCGTTGTGATCTTTATCGACCTGGTGCTCATCAAACCACAGGTCAGTTGCTACCCTAATGCGATCCGCAGCTAGTCACGATCTGACATCTCCTGCAATAGGTCTATCGGCATCTTCTTTTCAACCGACTCGGGCGTGATGACAACCGCTTTGATGTGAGCCACAATCCCTGGCTACCACCTCCGCATAGACAACAAGCTAATGCGCAGATGCTGTAGCGATCAATTATTCGCCTGGGAATCCTCCTCCTCCTTTTCGATGTCTATCTCACCTGGGCCCGCCTGGAGAAGGACCCTTCCCTCGCCACAACCTTCATATCTCGCGCCCCCATCGTCATCCAATATCTCTTCTTCCTTACCCTGAACGCAGCCGCAACTCTCGCGCACCACCTAACAGTCCGCCTACTCGCTTCAATTCTCGTGCCAAAATCCCATCGCTATGGCGGACCAGAAGCAAATAACAACACCACAACTACCACCTTCACCGCGCCTACATCAGGCACAAACACAGGCGACACAACCCCCTTCCCCTCCGGGCCTCCAACCCCAACCATGCGGCCCTCGCCCTCGTCACAGCCCATCCCAACATTATCTACCCAGCTGCTTAGCCCGACTACAACTACAACTACAACTACATCAGCAAAGATATCATCTAATCCAACCCCCGCGGACATCACATCTCCAACAGACCCCTCACCCCTAGCCCAAACAATCCAACCCCAACAACGCCCACCACCACCCCTCCGCCGAACCTCAACCGCACCACCCCAAATGATCCAACCACTCCCCCCACCAACAGCCGCCAGCCCAACAGCAATAAGCACCGCCCTGCTCGTAAGCAGCTGTGCAAAAGTCTTCCCAATCCTCCTAGTAATCTGGGGCGCCGACGGCCGAGGCAACAACACACCCGCAGAAACAACAACCCACACCCCAGCAACAGCAACAGGAACAGGAACAAGCACAATAGAAAGAAAAGACCTCGGCGCCGCAAAAGCAGCCCTATCCTCCTCCCGAGACCGAGCCTCAACACCATACTCGTCCTCGCCCTCAGCCTCGTTCCTGGAATCTTCCCTCGCGGCCGCAGAGTCTCTCCTCCGTCCCTACGTTCCGACAAGTTATCTCACAAGCCTAGTCGATGTTCTCGCGTCTTTGCTTTCGCTGGGTGTCGTTGACGCGCATCTCGTGCTGCTGAGTAACATCGAGGCTCTTTACATCTTGCTCGGTTGTGGGTATCTGCGTGCTGTAGCTGTTGCTGTTGCGGGGCAGATTGCTAGGTGGGCGGTGCAGAGGGTTATTCTCGGTGCTGTGGGTGTTGGATAGGACTTGCTGGGTTGTTTTTTATTTTATTTTCTTGGGGCCTGTTAGACCGGGTTGGAGTTGAGTGGGTTCGGCTTTTGCGTATAGACTTCATAGTTTACTTTGCAGATAGATCTTAATAAGAATGTAACTAATTCCTTCCAAGTTATCTACTCGATTTGACAGGAGCGTAGGTAGTGCTTTTCCTGCAAATACTAGCAGCAGCAGTAGGTATCATACTTTCAAGTTCTTAATCACGGCTTACCGTAGACTCTACCCTGTAAGAAAATAATCTAAGAAATTTATTCCGGTGGAACCCTAGGTAGGAAATAACTTGAACTATACAAAACACCCGCATCCGAAGTCCAACGTCAGACAAACCGCTGTATACCGCGACCCCACCACGAACTTCTGCACTTTGGCAGAGACCGTGACCAAAAAGAGAGCAAAAAAGACATAGATTTCAGCGGGAATATACTTCGATATCATGATGTAGTATACTACCTGCAGGGCTCCAAACAGGAACTCGAACTCGAACATGGATTGGTAAATGATACACGCGACATAAAAAGCCAGCCAGAAAAGAAAGGGTAATCCCGGGCCCGAAAATGATCAAGAGCAAAGCGAAAAGAAAAAAAAATATGATAGAGAACTAGATAGCTAGCGAGCTAGCTAGCTGAATGTGGTTTGGTTTGGTTTGGTTTGGTTTGGTTTGGTTTGGTATAATTTAATTGGGTACATGTCCGGGTCGAATATCGGCGCGCTTTGGCGCAATGAGAGGGTTCAATTGGGCGAGGAAAACGATTGCTGGGGGGATTCAGTTAGGACTCTTTCTTCATAGGCGATTCGATTTTCCTTTTTGGGGGTGAGGGGGAACTTTTCAGGGGATGAAGAAGGGATGTATGACGTACCCCACATCAAGTAACAAGAAATGAATGAGAGGATTAGTGTGCTGCGCCAGACACTGCGGGAATAAAAATGGTTAGTTCGACTGTTTGAATGTATGGCATACGAAAGCACTTGAAGACTCACGTTCGGCTCTCGTTCTTCGGGGAAAGAAACCAAGCAGCCACGGAGGCGGCCACAACGACAATAAGGCCGACGAGAAGACTCCAGCTGAGGGTGATGTTAGTAAATGTGGTCCAATTGGTTGGTTATTGTTGCAGCGGTTTCAGAACTCTGTATTCCAGGAAGAAGGCCGAATAGATACGACAGTATCTCGGCAATTCCTGCATTCAAGTCTGAAGAAAAAGGACATACCCGTTCGCCATTTTGAGTGTGTGTGTGTTTCGGATTCTGGTTCTGGAACCCGGGAAAAAAGGACTGGTTATTGGGGATGCGGTGATCGAGCAAGCGTATTTAGGACTGCGTGAAGACGTGTCGGTCGAAGGTTCAAGATAACTGCGCGGAATGAATCGGGGGTTGGTCGGTAGATCGGGCGAAAGCGTAGAATTCTAACAATCGTCTATCGAGAAGAGAAGAGCAGCGATATCGCGGCTCGGAACCGTCGCAGGCGTATCTTGATGATGATGCGGAGAGAAGTAGCGGCCAGATGGGCGGGAGTGGATAACCCGGTGCGTTGAATGGGTGATCAGTGGGAACTGGAAGGAGAAGCGACTCGGTCTCTGTATTTTCCGTAATGAATATTCACCGGCGAAATGTGAGGTCCGGTGGAATGTCGGTTTCGAGGGTGAGTTGGCAGTTGGAGCGGCGTTGGATGTCGGAGCTCCTGGAGCTAGCGGGACCTTTCTGGCCTGAGGTGTCAGGGCGGTCACTCCGGCTCCCACTTCACATACTAAACGGGGTTGAGTGTTTACAATTATTGAGATACTAAAACAACCGCATGTTTTGACGATAATAATAGTTCGTACTTCCAATCTGATCTTACTGAATAAAATGCCGAGGCAGGAAAATAAAGAATTCAATGTGGTCCCGGGTAATAGCACAGCAAAAAAGGGGGGTAGATACAGTTTAAGGCTACGAGTCAGTCTTATACTGCGACTCGGGGGGAGAATGGGAACGTAAAAGGCGCAGGGAACTACATTTAAGCACCTTCACGGCTCTTGCGGTAGCTGGCCTGAAACCAAAAGTTAGATACGCATCAAACTTTATGTTTATGACGAGTGTGGAGAGGGCTCTTGTACCTCTTGCTCAACCTGCAGAGCATCCACAGTGGGGGCAAGCTCGCTGAGGATTTCGTAAGCCTTCTTGTGGAACTCAAGCTGGGCGGCAATCAGATCGGCCAAGTTGCGAAGGGGCTCGGGGGTATCAAGGACCTGGAGTAAGGGGTCAACGTTAGTATTGGGTGTGCCACCAAGTGTTTCTCCTTATTATCGAAAAGGCATTGGCGGGGAGGAGATTGGAAGGGAATCATAGCAACATACGTTCTTCATCACGCTAACAGCCTCCTCAGTCTGGCCAACAAACTCATCCTCAGCCTGCTCGATCTCCTGACGAGCATCCTCGCTCAAGTTGTCCAGATCACCATAGGCAGCAGCCTTCTTAGAGGCCTTAACAGAGTCAAGCGTCAGGCGGGCGTTCTCGACGTTCTTGCGGGCCCTGGCAGCGAACATGAGGTTGGTGTTAAGGGTAGTGTTCCAGCCAGCGAGGAAACGGGACTGGATCTGAGAATCCTGGCTCAAACGGGCCTCGCCGACCTTCTCCTCAGCCAAAGCATACTTCTCCAGCGCAGTGGCGAGCGGGTCCTCGCCCTCAGTGCTCTGTGCGAGTGTCTGGGAGCCAGCGAGCGAGGCGCGCGCGATGGCGTGGTTGAAGGTCTTGGGCTGCGGCTTCGCGGAGGGGGGTGCGGTCAGGGCGGCCTGGGCCTCGGCGGGGGAACCAGCCTGCGAAAGAAGCGTGACCTTCTCGTTGATGGTGCGGCCGAGGTCATTGAAGGACTCGCGGATGTTGGGTGGGTAGTCGTAGGCCTCGTTGGAGTATTGGGAGCTGTTGTCGCAGATCGGACGACCCACACCGGTCAGCGGAGAGTTTCTTGGGAGGGGGGTGATGGACAGGACACAGCGCAGGCCTTGCATGGGCGTTGCATTGCAAGGTACTATCTCTTTGCACGTGTAGGGAGAGGAAACTCACGTCACGGAGAGCAGCTTCTGGTGAACCAGCTTGAGCGCATCGACGCGCTTCTCAAGCTCGATGTACTCATCGGGGAGCTGGGTTCGGTCTTCGGCCTGGCCCAGTTGCTCCTTGATGAGCTGCTGGGTGCGCTGCGCGAAGGGCGTGAAGTTCGCACTATACGCGAAAGCGACAGATCAGTCAGTGACAGTCAAGGATCATGGTCTAGAATATAGGAGATTGGGGGCCCGTGTGGGTAGGCAGAGGAGTGTCTCAGCGGAGGCTGATTAGGGAGTGGCGGTGCTCACCTGAAGGTCTTGCCGAATGCCTGCACTCGATCCATGATTGCGGTTTTAGGGAGTGAAGGGTTGGAGGGGGAAAAGGAGAGTCTGGAAGAGTGATAGGATGTCGTCGACCGTTTGAAGCTACGAAGGTGTGATGGCCCGCTGCCGCTGCACCGCCCCACCGCACCGCCACGCATCAGGTTCTAAGGCAGCGATGCGATCTAGATTTACTTGCTACTCAGGGCAGAGTGGCGCAGGGTTATGAAAGAAATGGTGAAAATCAAGTGAGGTAATAAATACATGTAGGAAAAAGAGCCGCAAAATGCGTACTAGTAGTAATCCATCCAAATCGTGAAAATCATCCCGTTCGTCCTAAGCGTCGCCGGACTCCCAGCAAGAACACGTAGTCGTAAAAAGTAGAAAAAGGTAAGAAAAAAAACGAAAACGAAAAATCCATCATCACGTCAGAGTCGCCAACATAGCGCGCATCACCCGAGAATTGGGTTCTGAATTGATAGATCAGTAAGGAATTGTATCTGCGAATTGTAAGGGGAAGAAGGTTGATACATACCTTTGCGCTCAGATTTGCTGATCTCAATCTTCTCCTCTGCATTACCTCTGTTGTCAATGGTATCGGTTTCACGATGTCGTGAGATTTCGTAACCACCCTGACGCTCCAGTCGCAACATTCTCGTTTCCTCTTCTAGCTCACGAATATATGCGTCGACTTCGTGATCACTATCCCGAGGACGAACGACCATCATCTGACCAGAATGTGGCCGAGATTCAATACGTTCCTCAAAATGACCTCGGGGTTCAACCAACTGTACTGAAGACACTGCACGACGGCGTCCATGCACGGAAATAGATCGCGGTCGAGAGACGGCGCGAGGTCGAGGCCGAGGCCGCTCGACAATTTCTTCGTACTCTATATCCTCGCGGCGTGATGGCGAGGCTTCGACGATAAAGGCGTCATGGCTTGAGCGAGGCGAGTGGTGATGGGAACGAGTAGTGTGAGTGTCGCGAGTAGTGTGGGTGTCGACCTCGAGGTACTCGGTGGTGACGCGCTCCTGCGGAAGTTGTCGAACCGGGGATCGAGGGATACGAAGATATTCAGCTGTGTACTGGTCAGCCATCATTGGCCTTTTCCAAAGGGAACTCTGAGAAAGTAAAAGTAACCTACTTTCGGTGTGGGCTGGACGGCGGAAGGATTTGCTGAGACTGATTACTTCGTCAATTTGCTCCTTGGACAATGCCTTCTGAATAATAATCGTCTCGTTCTAGACATAGAGAAAGCCGATATCAGCATGAGATCTGTGGCTCTATACTGTGCGCATGGCATCTGCGAGCGAGGGAGCCATGGTACTTACCTCCTCCTTGAACGGGTACCCCAGATCCAAGATAGCGTGGACATGCACCCATTTCCGAGGAATGCGGGTCTTGCCCTTGCGCGGGTATGGCTTCTCTTCATGACGGTGACGAGCACCGCTGCTCGAACGGCGATGTCGACGATCCATCACCATTCTCTCTCTGTCGTCGAATTCTCGAAATTCTTCGTCGCCGTAGGAGTCCGGTTCGGCGATGCGGATGTCTTCATAGACTTCACGCTCACGGTATCGCCCGGGTGAAGGGTGATGTGCCGGAGGTGGGGGCATGCGGGGACGGGCACGATCAAATGCTTCCATCTTGCGGCGAGGGATGCGATCAAAGGTATCGAGGGAAGACTGGCGCCTAAGTAGACGGGGCTTAGTGAATGAGGGGCTCTCATCACGACGACGGCGACGGTCATGCGCCACTAAGGGGCCAGAAGTAGATGGATGAGACAGGTGCTCATCCTCGTAATATCGACCTGCTGCGCGCGCCGGGGGGGCCATATCGGTCATCTTCACGGAGACGGGACTCAAAGCGCTCTTCTTCGCGGAAGCGAGATCGCTCTCGAGAGCGTTCTCGTTCAGCAACAGGTGGACCGCGAGAGTATCGGTCTTGACGATCGCGAGAGTCTAGAGTACCTGTCGAAGAACGGTAATCATCGTAGCGCGACGACATGTTGTGAAATCACGGGGAATCCTAAACAAAAGAAAGGATGACGGAGTTGAACCGTGGATGACGAGGGCGGCTGACTTTGGCGGGCCGAAGGTGGGGGGGGGGAAACCACGGGGCGAGTCGAGGGAATCCTAGTGAATACTAGTGAAGGGCGTGAGATGGAAAGTTGTGAAAGGAGGCAAAAGTGAAGAGTAAAGTTGTCAAAATGCGGGAGGGATGTTCAAGTGTTCGCCAGCTGAAAGAAGAAGCTAGTGTTCAGCCTTAGAGGGGTCTGCGTCAGGCAGAAGCGGCCTATGATGACATTGGAAGACCAAAGTGGAGTGTGGCTGATGAAAAGACTAGACTAAAACATTTACTGTCTAGTTCTCACCAGCCTCAACTCTAAGGTAGGAAGTAATCTACAATTCCAGGTTTTGCATATCCCCCTCCAAACTAAGCAGTCCCATTGCCCGATATGCCCGATCAGTTGGTTCCACCGTCACAAATCGTCGCTCAACACTTTGCTGCGCCCCCAAGTCTCGAGAAAGTACATCCTATCGAGGGTGGAGGGGTTAGTCCAGATCAAAATTGTTGGGTATAATCTCACTTTCACTTACTTGGGAATCCCGATCTCGACCCGTCTCAAAGGATCGTTGATACGGCGGCCCACGCCCATGCATGGCCGCCACAATCCATGACTTCTCACACCCACTAGCAATAGCATCCGAAGTTTTCCATCCCGTCAGTCGAGAAATGTCGCGGAGTTTGGCTATCGTCCAGCCACGCTGCGCCGAATCCGTATACTGCACCGCCGCAAAGAAGATCGGAACTGTCATTTCTGTAAGGGATGACCCAAGAGTGGGGCTCAGGCTGCCAGCCTGCAGGTTGTATCGCTGCGGGTAGTAGATGCCTGCTGTGATCCGGCCGATAATCTGTGCATACTCTGCAGTCGTTGGTGTAGCCACACCTGCAGCCATCATCATGGCTGGTGGCATCGATGGGTGAAGTCGCTGCAGCAAGATCCGGCCCGTGTAGTAGAATCCCCATATCACCGCGATCGTATGCGTGCGGTATTGCAAGGCAGCACCGAATGGAGTCGAGATCGAGGGTGTCACATCAGCGGGTAGTGGCTGATAATCTCGTCCGAGCCCTCGGGCGAAGGTGTCGAGTGCAGTCAAGATATCCTCCCATTCCTGCTCCGCTTCGTTGTATTTGTCGTCGACTGCCTGCTGGCTTGACCATTCATTTTCATCTGCTTCTTCTGAAGATTCGCGTTGTTCTTGACGAACGTCGGTGAAGCCAGCTGGAAGACGAGCCGGAGGTCTGGGTGGTACCATTCCATACATAGGAGGACCTTCTGGCACAGCTGGCCGTGGTGGAGGTCCCTTCTGTGACAAGGTTGGAGGTGACTCGGACGAAGAACCAGAGCCAGAGCCAGAACCAGAACCAGAGCGGGGTCCAGTGTTGGAAAATGAAGACGTAGACGATGGAGGTCCTGGAGGACCTCCAGGAGGACCGGGTCTTTTGTTTGGGCCACCACCAGCAAAACGGCCCATAAACTTGAACATCCCAGGGCCCGGCCTCCATTCCGTACCAGCAACACGAAGTGCTTTCAACTTTCGTTTCCGGTCACGATAGCCGTAATCTGTGATGCGCGAAAGCAGAAGCCAAAGGTGATCAGCCGATCCATAAATGGCGTCTAACCGGCCGATGCCAGCGCGGGGTGGGCATTGGCTTTTCAGATGAAAGGGCATACTAAATATTCCATGAGCAAGAGTCCTTTCCGACTAACCAAGTATCAGAACTTACAATAGTTTCTCGCCACTGACTAAACTGTGCATGAGATCTTGCTTGGTGAACCACCAGTATAGGTCGCACTGAAGCCGGAAGTTCTCGATATCCTTACGTGAAAAGAATTTCTTGGGAGACTGAGCCTGATCATGCTCGACACGTCCAAACTCGTCGTAATTAATCACTCGTCCCAAGATGGAGCTTAAAAATGCTTGGTCAATGGATGATTCTTTCTCGGCAAAGGGATCATCCTCGGATCCGTCGTTGTCGAAGCCAAAAGGATACATCTGCGGATTCGACCATCTCATCTGTTGCCGTTGCTCACTAATTTGACGTCTGTACGCTCGGAGGTCTCGAGTTGTACCCGCATAGTCGATTTCTTTAACCAGCTGCGCGGAACCAGCAACGTGACTGTTCCATTTAGAGTGATCGGCTGATATAACTTCATAGTACGCGAGCAGCTGCGTGGCAGCCAAAGTACCGATTTGCTTACGTCGTAATGGGAGGCCAACCGCGCGGCCAATTCGTTTCAATGCATAGTGGTAGTGCTTCAAAGAGACAGTCGAGGGTACACCCTGCAGATATGCGATGTGCAAACTGCTGATCGCGAGAATAGCCTGGAGTAGCGCAGGGTGCTCCAATGCCTTGAGGGGCAGAGTATATGTCCAAAGACCCTGTTGTGCAAGGGGAACCTGCAGGCCCAAAACAATCGAAGAGTCGGTCGCATGCCGCTCAAATATAGACAAGCACGGCCCGGTTGAGTGGATGAAATGGGCGAATATTCGGGCTGTCTTGGGATTGTTCAGTGGGGATGAGCCGAGCGAGGGGCGATAATTAGCGAGTATATTCGGCTCGTTGAGGTGACTTGTGAAAGAACGAAGCTGGCTGTCATTATTTGCAGATGCCATGATGAGACTAAGCTGATTAAAGCCTTCGCTCTGTATTTGATCTGCCATTTCGTCGTCGGAGTCGACATCGTAGAAATCTTCACTTTCATCTTCCACATATGTTACCTGTGGCTGAGAATGAGGAATGAAGGGCTCCGCCGTAGTGAGTTGCGAAGTTACTAATTGTCCCGGCTGCTGCGGGTACTGATATTGATATATCGAAGCCGATTGTTGGATGGGCTATAGCCTCGATTAGCGTATGTGTTTAAGCTTATGGCCAGGGGAAGGTATAGACATACCAATGGGAATAATGGATTCTCATTGCTCTTGTTCGTTTGAGATTCACTAGCCAGCTGAGATGCATACTGCGCGGCATAATCTTGGGATGTCGGAAAATTCTCCCAGTTGACACTTGGCTGTATGTAATGGACCGGTAGTTTTTGTTCATCATAACGGACGTGGTTTTCTGTTAAATTAATGGGCTGCGACTCTGACCCCGACTGCGACTGCGACTGCGACTGCGATAGTGACTGCGATCGTGACTGAGGCTGAGGCTGAGGCTGGGACCGTGAATAATCGGTCGGTTCTTGAGGTTCAGAGCCCCGTCGGTCTTCCTCTATAGCCTGTACTGGCCATGATGGAGGGGGTATCTGTACCGGTGGCGTGGGATAATAAAATTGCGGTGCAGCAGCAGGTGGTGCCCTCTCTGGCAGGGATGTCTCAGATGGCATAGCTTGATGACCGGTGGCTGGCACATCCACGGGCCGTGGCGCCAGCATAGGATGTTGAGCAGCTGCCGCAGCCTGCTGAGCCGGTAAAGGATAGTCATTGAATATAGGGACTCGCATCTGCTGCTGCATCTGGAGATCCTGACTGCTGTGGGGAGGGCCATAGGCGCCGAAGATACCCATGGGATTCTTGAAGATCACTCTTTGAGCGTAGCCCTCACAAATGCGCTTGGATTTGACGCAGTTGCTACATATTGGCTTCTCTTCGCCGCATTTGATACGACGTTTCCTACAAGCTTTGAAAGATGAGAACTATTCTGATCGCACAAATATGGAAAGGGTGTTTTTTATTGCGCATACTTAAACAGCCAGTTTTGGTTCGCTTCTTCGGGTGTCTGCGGGGGCCCGGATTCCTTGGTGCTTCTGCCTCGACAGGATCAGGGCTGTCAGCGTCTAGCCCCACGTCTGGTGGTTGCATGTTGTTGGAAGGGTAGTATCCTCTCAGGTTGATTGAGAGGATTGATTAAAAGGCATAGTGGGGGAGAGGGAGAGGGAGAGAGAGGAGGAAGGGGCGCAAAGGTTATAAATTAGGGCGCTATTAAGGTGAGTCTGGATTCGATCTCCACAAAACGGGCAACGCTGCCGAGCATCGCAGATCACCCGTGTGCGACTTGAGTGCTGTGTGTACAGAGTACAGAGTACTAGTTATCTCACGATCTACTAGGTAGTACCGTCTACTAGGTGGGTTACTGCTAGTAGTTGTATATTCACTGGCAGCTGGCATCCCATCCTAGGATGGCATGATCCTTACTCTTTACTCCATATCTCACTACCTCGCCCACTATCACCCCTCTATATCAATCCAAACCAGCAAACTTCGAACACGGTCTGACCTGCGGGCTGACCTATCGCTCACTACACCCACTCCTTGTCCAAGGCACAAAGCTTAAATACGTGAGTGCGATTCCTCAGGGTCGTGCCGTGCAGGGGGGGGCTTTAATCGCGCATGGCTGACCTCCCACATGGCAACAACGGGGCTTCAGTCGTAAAATCAGCCGAGATCGCGGCACACGGAGAATTTGAAATTGGATCCATCCAAAACTCTGAGATACGAAAGTCGATCTTGAGGCTGACCTTAAGATCGAGATTTCCATTTCTAATGGCAGACCCTCAATACTCCGTATTGTAAGTGTGTAATCCAATTACCGGCTGAAATTTTGCGGAGCTTCGGAGGAAAAAAAAAAGTTGCTCCAACTTCACTTCACATCCCCAGACAACCTTGGTCCACCCCAATAATTACCACCAGGATAAGAGAATAGTAGAGAAAATCTCTGCTCTCCTCTCAAACGCCACCTACACCATGTTCGCCGTTCCAGGATGGTCGGTCGCCAGCTCTGCGCTCAAGTCGCAGACCGAGCAGGCGCCCCCAGCCCAGAATGAGTCGCAAGCAGGCAAAGATGGCCCGACAAATGCGAAGAACAAGAAGCGCAAGCGTGGGAACGACCGTGTCACCGCCGGTAATGTCGATGACATGTATCGCAGACATATCGAAAAGGCCCCCCGCAAGCCTGCCAACGATAAAAAGCGCAAGGATGACAAGCAAGCACCTGCCACCTCCTCCCCGAAAGCGACTGGCGAAGCCAATGCCGAAGCCGAAGCCGCAGCCGTGAAGCCCACCGAAGACGAGACCGCTCAAGACGAGGGAAAGCAAACAAAAAAGCAGAAGAAGAATAAGAAGAAGAACAAGGACAACGAGAACCAGGGTGACAACAAGGATGCTGCGACAGCCCCCTCCAAGGAGACCGCCGCTGCTTCGGACTCACTTGCGCCTCCCCCGGCAACTGCCGCGACGCTTACACCTCTTCAGCAAGCCATGCGCCAGAAGCTGGTTTCCTCTCGTTTCCGCCACCTGAATGAAACTCTCTATACAACGGATTCTTCCAAGGCCGTCGAGCTGTTCAATGCGAACCCGGAGCTGTTCGATGAATATCATGCCGGATTCTCCCGCCAGGTGAAGGAGTCTTGGCCCTCCAACCCCGTCGACGGTTATATCCAGACCGTTCGCCGTCGCGCTGCGGTCCCTGTCCCCAAGAGGGGCCAGAAGCCTCAAGCAAACCGGGCCCTGCCTGTGCCCCGCCGGCCCAATGGCGCGTGCACAGTTGTCGACTTGGGATGTGGTGATGGCCTCCTCGCTCGCACACTGACCCCCTCCAAGAGAAGGTTGAACCTGAGGCTCAACAGCTATGATCTCCAGTCCCCCGACCCACTTATCACGAAAGCGGATATCTCCAACCTGCCGATGGAGGACGGGTCTGCCGACGTCGCGATCTTCTGTCTTAGTCTGATGGGAACCAACTGGGTCTCCTTCGTCGAAGAAGCCTGGCGTGTGCTGCGCGGCGATGGCAAGGGCGAGTGCTGGGTCAGTGAGGTCAAGAGTCGATTCGGCAAAGTGACCCGCAAGAAGGCCCAAATCGGCGCAGTGAAGCCGCTCAGCAAGGCCGATCAGAAGAAGCAGAAGAAGAAGGGAGGCAACGAGTCCGATCTAGACGAGGAAGATATCTACGCTGAAGATGCCCGCCCAGCCAACCACAACGACGATACGGATATCTCGGCATTCGTCGAGGTTTTCCGGTCCCGCGGGTTCGTTCTGCGCGAGGAGTCGGTTGACAAGTCGAACAAGATGTTTGTCAAGATGGAGTTTGTGAAGGGAGGAGGTGCCCCGACCAAGGGTAAACATGCCACAGGGCTGAGTGCTCCCGCTCCGGGAACCAAGAAACGTTTTGTCGACCGTAAGCCGGAAAATGGCATGACACCCGAGCAAGAGGCACAGGTCCTGAAGCCATGTGTGTACAAGATCCGTTGAGTGTTGTGGTAAAAGCGTGTCATGAAATTACTATCTGCTATATCCTTCCATATTCTTGTCGTATGAGGCCGGAGTAAATAGAATGCAAATCTAAATATCCACAGGCATATACCTAGATAATATCATTGTACCATAGGCATTTCTCCAGTCTTCTGTCTGCAAATTAAGTAGTACCTAGACCTGATATCGATGCAAGATCAACCAACCTTGGAATAAATATTACTTGTGCCCATGCCACTACTAGTATTAACTATATACTACTAGTATTTAAGACTCTATGGTTGGTGCCTCAAGGTGGGGTGACCAACTTGCTAATGTGACGGATTGCGTTATTCGTTAGGCGGCCCATATTAATGGGTGAGTGGGCCGCCCGGACGAGCGGGCTGGATCAAGAACACTTAAAAATATGGTTAATTACAACTTTGAGTATCTCAACAACTAAGTATTATTTTCATTGTTAGTTAGTATATAGATTTAACTTGCTATAAAGAATAGTATAGTAGAAGCTTTTTCAACATTAGCTAATAGTATTATTTAGAATACTATATCTTAATTTGGCCTGTTGAATTGAAATAGTTGTTGAGTTATAAAGTTGTAATTTATCAAATTTACTATGTGTTTTGAGGTGGCCGACTCACCTGGGCGGCTCACTCACCCATGAAACACGTTATCCGTGTACACTTGGGCGGCTAGGTGGAAGGGGAATGGACACCTCCTTCCAGCCATCACGATAGGTACTTGGGTACCCTTCACATGATTTCTCTCAACCCCACAATTTTATAAAATGAAAGACCGCTCAAAATTTATCACTCTAGACACGGTTTCCTACCTCTGGAACCACCTCAATCTTCCTGAAGCATCTCTTCAATCCCTCTATCTATCCGACCCGGACATCCCAGGACTGCCCTCTTCGTTCAAAATTGGACATCTAGCACAGAGCACAATAGCTCTCTCCGCCCTCACTGCTTCCCTACTACACGCAACCCGCAACGGAACCCTCATCCTGCCTCGCGTGCAAGTCGCCCTCCACCATGCATGTGCCGAGTTCAAATCCGAACGTCTGTACCGTCTCGACGGTCATCCACCGCCTGATACATGGGGGCTCATCGGTGGGCTTCATGCAACGCGTGACGGATACGTGCGTATTCACGACAATTGGGAGCACCACCGGCAAGCCGCGCTCCATCAACTGCGGCTACCGAGCAATGCATCGCGCGCCCAGGTCGCCGAGACGTTGAAGAATCATTCTGCCATTGAGCTTGAGAGAGCGGCGTCTCGTTATGGAAGTGTGATTACCGCACTTCGCTCTTATGAGCAGTGGGACTCCACCCCACAGGCCTCTGCTATATCGGACCACCCTATTCAGATCAGCAAACTCGCCTCCGGGGGTCGGGACAGTGTACCCAGACGGCTTGAGCCAGGCAATGATCGCTGTTTGCGTGGAGTCCGGGTCCTAGACCTAACTCGCGTGATCGCTGGCCCCGTAGCCGGACGTGTGCTGGCATCTCACGGCGCAGATGTTCTCTGGGTAACAGGACCAGGAATGCCTGAGCTACCACCTCTGGACCGTGATTTCAGCCGTGGAAAGCGGAGTATCCAACTAGATCTGAATTCTGCCGCCGGCAAAGCCAAGTTACTCGACCTCGTACGCGGGGCGGACGTCTTCATCCACAATTATAGACCTGATAGTCTAGCAGCTAAGGGGCTTGGTCCATCCGATCTAGCGGCGGTTAATCCAAATATCATTTACGCCGAGCTCTCTGCATACGGTAGTAAAGGTCCCTGGAGCCAGAGTCGTGGGTTTGATTCGCTTGTTCAAACATGCTCGGGCATGAACATATCCGAGGCAGAGCATTCCGGCGCTGGCGACTTGGCAAAGCCAATGCCATGTCAGGCATTGGATCATGGTGCTGGGTTCTGTCTTGCTTCGGGAATTATAGCTGCGCTGTACCATAGGACTGTCTCCGGGTCGTCGTGGAAGGTCGAGGTGTCTTTAGCGGGTGTTATGAAGTACCTTCGGTCGTTAGGTCAGTATCCCGGCAACTCCGGATTCCAGTGTCAGGACATAATATGGGGGGGAGGATATCATTGGTTTTTTGGAAACCAAGTCTTCTGTTTTTGGTGAAATGACGGCTTTGAGGCCGTCGGCTTGTGTGGAGGGCGCAATGCCAGCGTGGGATTTCATGCCCAAGTCTCTCGGCTCTGATACTCCGGAATGGATTTGATTACGAATCTATACCGATCTATCTACCTAGGTACATATACTAGTATATATACTATATAGAAATTCCGGAAACATCTTCAGTAGGTTATATGCCCTCAGGGCTGACTGATTTTAGTTGATCCCTGCTAGTATCATTGCCCACATTCCAAGGTTATCCATGGTTAAATTCTCAATTTGCCGCTTTGTAAGGACTTGGGACAATACTAGTAGGATTATATACCTAGGTAGTATTTGATAAAAAGTAATAAACCTAACCTGAAGGGAATTAAGGAGAGATTACTGTTATAACAAGAATGTTTTTGTTAGGGGATATGATCAAGATAGTATAAAGACATAGGGTTAAGGGTTGGTTAATACTAGTAGTATAGAGGAGAGGATTTTATGAAAAACCTTTGGAACGCCGGAGTCTGGACATAATATTGCGGAGCAAATGTGTGGGAGAGTGTTTTACTATTGTTCGTGTTGAGAGGTTAGGGTTACAGTTGTTCCAGGAGAAGGGTTGGGGGAGGGTTAAGATATCCAGGATACAATAGCTGTACCGGTCTATACCGTACGTACAATTTGACTGTGCTTGCTTCCTCAAAACGAACCTAGAGCATCTTCAAAGCCTTCCATGGCCTAGTTCTCTCTCCCATGAGTTACTAGTATAATTTTAAAAAAAAATTCGGAAATCACTGGTTTCTCGAATAAACTTGATCTAATTGGGACACTTATGTCGCCGAGTACCCTCCGTCAACAAAGAAGACCTGACCAGTAACAGCCTTGCTTGAGTCACTGGCGAGGTACACAGCAATACCCTCCAAGTCTTCTGCAACTCCATTTCTCCGTATCATGGTACGCATTGCGTGCGATTCTGCCTTCGCTGGGTCCCCCAAAACTGCAGTAGTCATGGCTGTTTCAACGAGTCCGGGGGCGATAGCGTTACATAAAACGCCTCGCGATGACCAAGCCTCTGCCTGTGACCGAGTAAGAGATACAAGTCCCCCTTTAGAAGCTCCATAGACGCTGCTGTTGCCAAAAGCTCTAAAAGACTGTTGGCTGACAATGTTGATAATGCGTCCACTTCCCCTTTTTGCCATGGCCGGTCCAAACTTCTGTCCAAGAGCAAATGGTGCCGTAAGATTAACAGCTATAGTCTCATCCCAATCTTTGGCTGACAGGTGGTCCATATGAATCCGAGTATTGATGCCTGCAGCATTGACTAGAATGTCAGGGATGCCGTATTGCTTGATGACCGCTTTATTAATGGCATCGGCGTCGCAGACGTCGATATGCAGTCCATGTGCCTCGACTTTCATGCTGGAGAGATAATCGACTGTATTCTGGACCGGACCTGGACGTCGAGCCACAACAATAACGGCAGCTCCAGCCATGCCCAGGGCGACGGCCATCGCCCGCCCAATGCCGGAGCTGCCACCAGTGACAACGGCGACACGACCACGAAGACCAAAGAGGGACTCAAGATATGTGGTGTTAGTCCGCATGCCGTATGTCATTGTTTCGTTTATAGAAATCAATGTGTTGAGGAAGCCTGCAAATTTTCCTTCTTTTCTCAACAATATACGTACTAGTATGAGTCATATGGCTTATAATGTAGGAAGCCGTAGCTACATTCCCTAAACACTTAGCAAACATTAGTCAAACCTTCCTTATATGTCATGTAATAATTGCGTTCCACCCACTCCTACACCACTAATTTTAATTGATTAGTCAATCATTATATTAGGTAACTGTTCTCAACGAGTAGCAAGTATCAAAGGCCGCCCTGGGTTACTAGTAATAAATGGTGGTTCAGGCCAGGTCAGAATGCGGTCACCATGGTACTGATTTCATAAAATAATTAGAACGGCCATCAGGTGGCCGCCCAATTAATCCGCTTTGTATAGTATTTGCCCCAATATCTCCTGGTTACCCTTTTATGCACTGGCAACATGCTCTGGAGTAACGACTTTGATCATGCCCAACATGCTACCTAATAGTATTCACTTTTTACTGACTCGGATAAGAAAGGAACCATAGCGCAAAGATATCACTACGCAACTGACCAAAGTGTACAATACCTTTGGGAAAAAAAGAATAAATCACTCATTTACTTCGAGACACATACTTCAAATTATACTACCAAATGCGGGGAAACGTGACGTCGCATACCCCGCGGGCCCCTACAAATCACCCGGGGTTTTGCCAGGATCGCCTTTTAGCCGGAATATGGTAGAATAAACACCCACCAACCAAGATGAGACCATGCTTTTCCTGAACTCAATAAGCCGAGTTTGGTTCTCATTCAAAGTGCGCTACATACTTGGCGTGGGGGCTCATGAAATCAGACGAGGCTATTCTCCCACGTCGGCTTTCGGGGAAATACTCCGATCGAACCTCTTATATAGAGCCAGCATCTCCTACTAGCCCCGCGAATACTCGTACCTAGTAGAGGGTACTAGTATGCTGGGAATAAATTAAAACCCCCGACTACTCTCTATTATGTCTATCCAAGCAAACGGAAATACGCCCTCCCAGGCCTTCAGCAACTCACCCTTTCGCACCCGTGCCGATCTACAAGCCGCATGCCGTGCACTATTGGACCCTTTACTCCCCCTCTTCACTCCCGGAGGCAGTCGCGTGAAAATCGGAACCTCAACAACCCGCTTCGACGAAGGCGGCGCCCAAATCGAGGGCTATGCACGACCACTTTGGGCCTTGGCCTCTCTGCTTGCAGGGAACTACGACTACGTCGAGGCCGCGCGCTGGCGTGAAGGAATCATCAACGGTACCGATCCAAACCACCCTGAATTCTGGGGTAATATCGAAGATTCGGATCAGCGTATGGTTGAGATGTGTCCTATTGGTTTCACGCTTGCTGTCGCACCGCATGTCTTTTGGGAGCCGTTGACGCAGGCTCAGAGGGATAATGTGACGAATTGGCTTGCCAGTATTAATGCGCGGGAAATGCCTAATACAAATTGGTATGTCGGAATCCAGGTCGGTATAATCTGATACCGGACGGAACGAACTGATTTTTGTTTCTGCTTGCAGGCTTTGGTTTCGGGTCTTTGCGAATCTGGGTCTGAGGAAGAATGGTGCTTCTTACTCTCTTGCGCGCATCGAAGCCGATATGGATCATTTGGATACTTTCCATGTTGGTGGAGGCTGGAGCAATGATGGGCCTAAAAGCCACCACCAGATGGACTATTACTCGGGTTCTTTTGCTATTCAATTTTTGCAGCTGCTCTATTCGAAGCTTGCTGGTGATTTTGATCCCGAGAGGGCTGAGAGATATCGTGAGCGAGCTAGAGAGTTTGCGAAAGATTTCGTGTACTACTTCAACCCAGACGGTGGGTTTTATTGTGAAGTCAATTGGGTGATAAAAATACTAACTAAGAATTCCCCAATACTCTAGGCCGAGCCATACCTTTCGGACGATCTCTAACTTATCGCTTCGCCATGGTTGGATTCTGGGGAGCTCTGGGCTTTGCAGATGTGGAACTACCAGCACCATTGACTTGGGGAGTAGTGAAAGGGCTCCTATTACGCAACTTCCGCTGGTGGGCTACTCAAGCAGACATTTTCAACAATGACGGCACTCTCAATCTCGGGTATTCATACGCTAACATGTACCTGACGGAGAACTATAACTCGCCCGGGTCTCCATATTGGTGCTGTCTCTCCTTTATTCCGCTGGCGCTACCTGAAACGCATCCATTCTGGACCTCAGAGGAGGAACCCTACCCTTCATCTTTATTGGAAGTTGTTGCTCTCAAGTATCCCAAGCATATAAGTATACGCCGAGGAGGTCACTCGTTCATCCTGTCCTCTGGACAGGCGTGCCACTACCCAATGAGAGCCACGCAGGCCAAATATGGCAAGTTTGCATACAGTTCTGCCTTTGGATACTCTGTGCCTACAGGTTCCTATCAGCTTGAACAATTCGCCCCGGATAGCATGCTTGCTTTATCTGAAGATGGCGGGGAGTTCTGGCACACGCGGCGACTTGCTCTGGATGCTCATTTTGAGAAGCCTGGCTCAGATGGTACCCCGATACTCGTGTCTAGCTGGAAGCCATGGCCAGACGTTGAGATAGAGACGACTCTCGTCCCACCCGCAGTCGAGACACCCAATTGGCATATACGGGCACATCGTGTGCGCACAGGCCGAGCACTGCAAACCTCCGAGGGTGCTTTTGCTATTTATGGATGCCGGAGTGATAATGGTCGGATTCTTGGGCCCATGGAATCTGGTGAATCGGAGGGTTCAGTGCATGGTGATCGTAGTGCGCTTGTGATTTCGTCGGCTGGGGCTGTGGGTATCACTGAGTTGTACTCTTCCAGCTCGCGGGCTGGTCGGATTGTGCTTGCTGATCCTAACTCTAATATCATCCATGGGCGGACACTATTGCCTTCGTTAGGGATTGATCTATCCCCAGGTCAAGATCTTTGGTTGGTAACGGCTGTCTATGCCTTACCGGGTCATGCTGAGAACTGGCGGACGCAGTGGGATCAGAAACCGGTGATTCCAGAATGGCTGCTGAAGAGAATAGAAGCATGATTGTAGTCATGGTTGTACGGCGTTTGTCAATAAGAAAAAAACTCGTTTCTCAAGACTACCTCTAGCTGTGTAGAAGAGACCTCTGACCTTCAAAGTTCGGACAATATTCAACGAAAGATGTGTAGACCTCCTTTTCTCTACCTCAACAGAAGTGGATTGAGATTATTTATCGCGGCTAAAATCCAGACGTGCTAATCATTTATTGGTTTCCACCCAGCTGCTCGACAGCCCGGCCCATCTCCTCGTCATTGTAGATACGGAATCCCTTCTCCTTGGTGACACTGGCCAACTGGACGTTCTTTGAATCCAGCTTTTCTTCCATAACCTGCTTCAGAGTCTTCAACACCAGGGTCTCAGCCTCGGCCAGCGTCAAGGAACGATGATATTCATTTTGCAGTTCCGCCTGCGCACCCTCGCTTCCAGAGCCGATGGCTTTGGCATCATATCGGTAGAATGTTCCGGAGGGCTCGGCGTGGTACCTGATATTGATTATTAGAGGCCTAGCTTCGTGAAGAATAGGTGGCATTTGCACCCGGCAGGTTCACTTACAGTTGAGGGCCATCCTCATCAAATCCAGCAATTAACAAAGCAACGCCAAAGGGTCTGCTCATAACACTCTCCTCATCATCGCCACTCTCTCCGAATCGGAGGGCCAAGTCGCAAATGGCTTGTGTAGTACTCTCGACGCGCAAAGGCTCGGCATAGTGGAAGGCGTGGTTCTGGCATTCGACACGGGCGTGCTCGACCAGGTTACGGGCATCGGCTTGTAGGCCGGACATGGCGCAACCAATGTGCTGATCAATCTCGACAATCTTCTCTACCGATGAGGCCTCGAGCAGGGTGGATGTCACACGCTTCTCGACGCCGAGGATGACTCCCTCGGATGTTGCAACCTTGACCAATGTTAGCGGGGTGCTTTGCGGGTGATGATGACAAGCGCCGGGCCCAGAGATCGATCCATGGCTTTATTCATAGCGATAAATGGCCCTCCTTTCTCTCCGTGTATAATTGCGATGGAAGATGGTGGTAATATAAGCAGGACGGGGCTGGAACGTACTCCGATTGCTGTGGAACCTAGCTTGATAGCTTCGAGGGAGTATTCGACCTGGAATAGACGACCTTCAGGGGAGAAGGTGCTGTACGGGGCAGAGCAATATTAGAGAACAGGGTTCGATACAACGACAGGAATATCTGGGGTAGAATGCGTACTTGATTCCACGGTCTATCCGAAGCTGTTAGCAATCCGGGCAGTGGAGTGAGATGTGACGGGAGCTTACCATATTCGGATCGGGCAATGAACATATTGGGCGGGTTGAATGAAGACAAGGGAGATCACCAAAGAGATTAAAGAATTCGAAGGAATCCCGAGAAGGTGGAAGGGATGGGAGGTAGTTGGTTGGAGTGAACTGGGGGAAGGACGAAGCTCGGGAAGCTCGTAACCTACGCAACTCACGTTTGCCTGCGCGGGGGCGGTGAACGAGTGTCGCCCAATCATTAGGAAACGCAATTCACTCCTCGCGCGCCGGGTTGATTAGCATTCGTGCCAGGTTCCTGTTTCTGTTTCGATTTGCTGTGATTCTCTCTTTTGCATGATAACGCCTACTCCATTCCGGGATCATGTCCATCCCCGAACGTCGCGTTAGCAACATCAGCACTGTTCGACCCCGCGTTGCTTCCAGTCGCGTCGATGCCGACAAGCTCAAACACACCCAATCGCCGTACCCAAACGATAAGATGGACCCTTTGCGCACAAGTACCACCAGTCCGAAATACAAGACAACGCTCGAAGTCAAAAAAGTGACCGGGAAACACACGGAGCGATCAGTTCTGGCAGAGAAATGGCGAGCCGCAAGGGAATTCGACGACTCGGATAAGAGGAGAGCCAAGAAGGCCCCATCTGCGGCGCATTCAAGACCAGCGACAGCTACAAAGCAGGAGACGGAGGCGAGCCAAGGTTAGTGATTCGCTCCTATTCGCTGCGTCTCGGATTGAGACGTACTGACTTGTTTGTATACACAGCGCCATGGAATCCGCAAGCATGTCTTATTCCTCACTCAACAGCTCCTCTCGCCAGTCGTGTATCAGTCCCTCCATTAGCTTCAAATGCGCCTCAGTCCATCGCCCCTCGCCCATTTCGGGAGCTTTCTCCTGACGCGCAGGAATCTGCCATCCTGGAGGATCTACTATTCGTGTTTATGGGCTTCGAAGGGCAATATATTCACTACCAGAGCGCCTATGACCCAGCTGCGGAGAAGGATCGTCTCACCGGTCCTGTTTACCAATTAGCGCCAGGCTTGGACCCGACTCTACGAGACCTCACACAGTCCATGCTCAAGATGGCGACGCATTATAGTGCAATGGAGACTTTCGTGGAAATTCAGAGTCGGGCTGAGTATGGCGCTGTTAGCCATGCACTTTGCGCATCTATTCGCAAACTCCTCAAGGACTATCTGATCTTGATCGCTCAGTTGGAAGGCCAGCTGCTGAACAACCCTACATTCACCCTACATCAACTTCATTTACATACGATGCCGACCAGCCAATGCCTTGCCCAACTCTATCTTTTGGGACAAGAACTCCTGAAGCGCAATGGATTGCTGGAATCTGATGATTTGGACGAATCCATCGATGACTTTGATGACGTGGATAACATCCTCGAGCAGCTCAAGGAGGGAGGCGATCTGGTGCCAGGTGCTATGGCAAGCAAAAAGATTTGCAAAGGAGGAAATGTCTTGGGTTTGTTGACAGAACAGCTCGCTACACTATCAGGAGATCCGACCAGCAAGTCTCTCATACAGGGTTTGTTGCGCGATGCCAGCCGCCCCTACATGAACATGCTCAATGAATGGTTGCACCATGGTGGTATCAAAGACCCCCATGCAGAATTCTTGATCAAGGAGCAGAAATGGATTAAACGTGAGAAGCTTGAGGAGGATTACACCGACGAATACTGGGAAAAGCGCTATACAATCCGCGACACTGAGGTTCCACCACAGCTCGAGAGTGTCAGGGACAAGGTTCTTCTCGCTGGAAAGTACCTCAACGTGGTACGAGAATGCGGTGGTGTTGATGTGAGCAAAGCCGTGAAGGATGTTCCCAAAACTCTTGACGATCCGCGCTTCCTGGAGAACGTCAATGCAGCTTATACCTACGCCAACGCCTCGCTTCTCAATCTCCTTCTCACCAAAAACTCGCTGACTACGCGATTCCGATCTCTAAAACACTACTTCTTCCTCGATCGATCGGATTTCTTTTCCTACTTCCTTGAGCTTAGCGCATCTGAGCTGCGCAAACCAGCTCGAAATGTGAATGAGGGTAAACTCCAGTCGCTACTTGATCTGGTACTTCGCCAGCCGGGCAGTATTGCTGCACAGGATCCCTTCAAAGAAGATATCAAAGTACGGATGAACAAGATCGGTTTAACAAGATGGTTGATGCAGGTAGTGAGCGTCTCTGGCATCGACCAAGATCACCCTGAAGCGTCATTCGAGAAACAGCAAGCCTCGACTTCTCACAGCTCGGACGATGAGAACAATATTTTAGGATTCGATGCGCTCGAACTGGACTATTCTGTACCATTCCCACTCTCGCTCGTCATCAGTCGCAAAACGGTTCTGCGATACCAACTCATTTTCCGCCATTTATTATCACTTCGCCACCTGGAGACGCTGCTGGTCACGTCCTGGGCAGACCAAAACAAGGTTATGAGTTGGCGACATAAATCATCAGACCGAAGACTGGAGCTATGGAAGAGGCGCGCATGGAACTTGCGTGCGAAGATGCTTGTGTTTGTGCAACAACTTCTGTACTTTTGCACGGCCGAAGTCATCGAGCCTAACTGGGTAGGATTGATGGAGCGAGTCAATGGGGCGGAGGATGCCAATGGATCCGAAGAAACTGTGAATGGTACTAAGCAGGCCAACCGAACGGTCGACGAGCTAATGCAGGACCATGTGGATTTCCTTGACACTTGCCTGAAAGAGTGTATGCTCACGCAGGCCAAACTCCTCAAGGTACGTCGGAACCAGACATTTTATGCGTGGAAAGAATACTAACCGTAGGTGGATTTTAGATTCATTCCAAACTGCTGACTTGTTGCACCATGTTTGCGTCTTGGACCGCCGCATCGCTCTCGCGGGCACTGGCTTCGGCTGACCCTGACCAGGCTGTGGAGGACAGTCGAGGATACGACGCGACCCGCATAAGCAAGCTCGAAGATACTCTCAAACGCTATGAGGATCATTTCAATCGCCACTTGCGCATTCTTATGGATAGGTAAGTTGATATGTACAGTCTTCATTGAATCAGGTTGTCTAACCAGGAGCAGTTTGAACTACTTCGCCGCCACTGAGAGTGTTGTTCTATTGAAGCTTGCTCATTCCCTCAGCTCCATCAGTAAGGAAGACTGAAGATGACGCCACTTATGAATATGCAACTTCTCATAGAGATTTGCACACGACCTGCCACATCGGATACACACCTCCATCCATCACCAACAATGTACGCTTATACTCGTCACGGAAGCTTACCGAGAAGGATATGCCACGAGTTGTCTCGGCGCTAGGGATGCTAGTTCTAACGACCTGGAATTGAGCGACAGGGACCATTAACGAGCGCTCTATCACATCATACCACCCTGCAACGGCGACATGGCCCTGTCTCCACTCAGAAGAACGCCATTGGGCAGGTCTCCACTGATAAGATAGAAGCTACGAGTGCCTCGGGATCCCGTCTTAGCCTGAGGGTCGGATCCTAGGATAGGATGCGATGAAGTCCACCCCCGTACTCCAAGCTACCACAATCAGATTTGTATGTATTAAGTAGCTACGAGGAGTCAGCGCGCATGATTAAATAAATACCACTATTGCTATCAGTCCCACCGTAAGAAAGCAGTCAATGGCGAGTAGAACAGCACGAGGCTCTCACGGCCCCCACCCCCGACTTTTGTACGGACCCTCCCCTAGGGTAGGCTGACGCCCGAATTCCGCCATAATCGGGGCTAATCGCACGTCAGTCCGCTCCGCCGCAATCATTTTATAAACCCACGACCTCGAGACCTCTCACATCTCTTCAGCACTTCCACACCCCGAGAGAGAGGAAGAGAGAGGGAGAGTATACCCATCCCATCATGCCGCTCGCTTCCATCCTCTCATCGCTTCCACCCCTCCGCCTTCCACATTCCTACCAAGAGCGACTCAACCTTGCGCTCGGTACCGCCGCGTTCTTAGGAACGACCACCCTCCTCCTCCCCGCAGCATACCGCGACTACCGCACCTTCAAATCATACGGCCAAGGCGGCATCCCGAATAATGTCATCGGCTGGCTGATTGTGCGCCTGCTCTTCCAGCCTTTCCGCGGAGAGATGCTCGACACAGAAGTCTACTCGCGTCGCATCGATGCCGCGGAGGGCCACGGGATGGGCGGTGATGGATACTTGACACTATCGAAAGCACAACTGGCCACACGCTCGCCTCAAACCAGGCCCGAGGTCGGCCCGCATGTTGTGCCGCAGCGACAGTTGACCCAAGTTCCGGACGAGGATATCATGGAGGTATGTATACGCCGTCAGCCATTCCCCTCTGGGTTTTCAATATCTGGATGCGGGGACCCTGCATCCTTGGGTCCCTGGCACTTAAGGTGTTTTGCCAATAGCTAATCAGGACCTCATAGAAATTCCGCGCCGCGTTCCGATCCTTCGGCTTGCGTAACCACCATCTCGTTAAATTCAGCAAATCCAACCTGGAGCAACACGCCGATGGACTCTTTCTAGCGGACCACTTGCCCATCACCGATCTGGCTGTGAGCATGGCGGGAGAGATTGCGCATATTCATCAGGGTTCTGACCACTCGGTGCATGTCGTCTTGTCGCCTGCAGACTGTATGTCGTCATTTTGCATTCCCTTCTCTGCTCCCGGCCGCGAATCGACTCGAAACTAACTTTTATACCAGGCATTAAAATACTCGAGGCGGGATGGGGCCAGCGCCATGGTTTCTCTGGTACATCGGCTATGACATATTTATCCTTCGGGACGTTGCCTGACCTACCTGCGGAATATATTCTCATCTATGCGCCGCGCACGGAAGAGGAAGTTAGGATCGTGATGGAGATTATCTCGGCCAGCGTGAAATTCATGACTGGACGGGAAGACACGCGGTAGATGTACAACTTGTCAATTGGTATGAGTGGCCTTATTGATGGCAGGCGACTTTTCCTGGTACCTACTAGGTACCTAGCTACTCTCCTCGGTATCATCCCGGGTGAGGAGAGCAAAAGGAGATACACAGGCTGTATATAGTGCATGGCGTTTTGTTCCTGCGTTGTGGCAACTTCTTCCGCATCTTCTATTCGGGTGCATGGCGTTTACAAGTGACACTCGCAGACCGTGGCAGTTTACGGTCATGCTTTGGTGTTTGCGGTGCATAATGGACTGGCGCTAATGGTGACTTGGTGAGAGTCACGGTCCATCCCAATTTGGAGGACATTCGGCGTTAATCTTTTGTATCTCCACTTCCTCACGGTGTAAAAATATTCTACGGTCAAGCTTTATCATCGAGAGACAGTATATTATGCTAGTCGAAGGCAGTAAATACTAACTTGAGAGCAACTTCACCAGGCCTTCCTGAATTCCAGACTTAATTAGTATAACCATGGAAGTTGGGTTCCTCGCATGAGGTTCCAAGGTTCCAAGGTGACTACTACCAGTGGCTGCTCGAACTTGAAATCATACTACTCAACATGTCCGAGTCGCACACTCCGATTCAAGTTGAAATAATATGACAGCATTTTGTCTCGCAGGACCTTGCTAGACTACTAGTACTAGTAGCTCCTAGGCAAAATTTCACCCTAGCATACGTCGTCAGCCGCACCTGAGAAGATTCTGTGATTTCGATTTCATCTCTACTCCACACCTAGGTAAACACAAGTTGTGATAGAATGGGTATTAGCTAATCTGTTAGTTGGGCTCGCTATAACAGATCTGCAGGAACGGGATTTGCTTTTACTTCTATTATGCAACAGATATAAATCAAGGCGCAGGCGTCATGAGATCAATGACTCGACCTCTCACATTGGATGCTACATAGATAGGTCGAAAATTCAAGCCGACATCATACCATTATTAATTCTCAATTCCAATGTTGGAATACTATCTCCCTGTCATCATAAGAAGCCGAAATCGGTAGCATCGACGCCATTGAATGCGTTAGTGCCTCTCCCTCCTCGTACAACATTGCCTAATTACACTCAATATAATTTTCAGCCCCGGGCTCAACTGATTGTACTTTTGTTCGGGATATAAGATCCAACCCCTTCGATGAGAGAGCCCGAGGCTATGGTAATATCAGCCCGAATAAGCAAAAACATAGTACTATAACCCAATCTGAAAGCTGCGATCTGATCAGCAGGGTCTGACCGAGACCATGGGACAAAAAACAAATCAAAATAAACAAAAAGTTTTGGAATATCCTCAGCGTGGAGCTGTTCGGACTCCGTACCTAGGTAATTTCCAAGATTTCTATGCCCTTCAATTTCGCTTCTCAGGTGAGATCACGGTCCGAATCGGACCCAGACCGGAAACAACCCCCAAGGAACCATGACACTTTAACGCTAGATCGAATATATACCAATCAACAGACGATCACAACTAGCGTACCAAACTACGAGACAGCCACCGATCTATTCTACACGGGCGGACTATGTATGGAACGGAGAAAAGAACCATGACGTGCGAAGCTCAGAGGCAAAAAAAGAAGAAGAAAAATTAGACGAGCGCACCGACAAACGACTCCATGATACCATCCGAGATCCAGAGATCCATCGAAGCTCGTATTAGGAATATCCGTGAGGGTCGAGGAAGAATCTGAATGGAATCTGAAAGCAGATTTTGACAGTTAACAGCTAACTAGTCATGTACAAAGTACATACATACTAACTAGTTCCTAGTAACGAGTAGTAGGTGCGGGCCAGTCAACGCAGTTGCATAATATGTGCATACCTAGCATATGTACATGTTCGCCCACTGGCAGGAGGCTGTAGGCACTGGCACTCCAGGGCTAGGACCAGGTCACACAACATATACTCCGTCTGCACAGGGATAGAATTGTCGGGACTCCCGTCGTTTCAGACTCAGGCAATCCGAGGCTATCCGTCTCATACTAGTATAACTGCAGTATTGTGGGGACTTCGGAGAAGAATGTAGGCCGGGGCACGACGAACAAGGTCACACGGCGGTCTCGTTGCTGAATACATACGAATGGACAAAAGATCTGCCCCTCCCTCCTCTTCACCCCCTCTCCCCAGCCCACTTACTCTTGTGGGCAAAGGCAAAGGCAAAAGGAGGGGGCTGGGACCCGACACAGTGGTAGACTAAGTGGGGTACTTCATTTTACAGTATTTTTATTTTATTATTTATTATTTATATTATTTTCATTTTTATTCCGATTTGGATTTTTGATTTGATTTCTTTCTTTTTGCCTCTCCCTTTCTCGATTATTAAAAAGATAAACGTACATAGCAATCAAATTCTTGGTGATGTGTTTTATTTTTACCTCGGTAGTACCACTGGGCTGGGACCACTCAAATTTTTCAGGGTTGAAGCATACATTTAAACATACTTCACAGACCGAGACCGAGACCGAGCCCCCTTCAAGAAGAGAAGAGAGAAAGAAAGAAAAAAAAAGAAGCAAAAAAACCAAGACGAGAAAGGGCTGGGAAAAAGGAGGAAGAAACCACATAAGCTGGGGCAACCCCCCCCCCCCCTAAAGTGTGTAACAAGACCCGGAATGCTGGGTAGAGGCAAGTCGATCCGCTTTTTCTGTCCGACTGTTCGAACCCAATCCTCGGGACGAGGAAATCTGGCGTTCCCGCAGGTTTTGATTTTAGTTTCGATCATTAGCGTCCGTCGCCCCAGGCCCCAAACCCGGTTGGAGACCGGCGTTGTACTGCTTAGGCAGGTCCTTTCATTCGTGCACGGCCACTTTGATGACAGCACGGGAACAAAATAATCGACCGGGTCTGAATGGAGATTTGTCCCTGTTCCACACAGGATGTCAGTGTATACGTAGTACATTACTGTACATAGTAGTAGTACTATTCACTTTTTTGTCTACAGAGTCCCGAGTACGTGGGCTCCGTCCGAAAGAGAACCGACACTAACGGGCCCAGCCGCTCTCACCCCCGAAGCTGGGACGGGAAAGCTGGGAATGGGAAAGCTGGGAGGGCCTGCCTTCCCGAGGGGTGAACCATGGCGCTGGGATTAGAGCTAAACGGTGAATTGAGAAAAAGAAAGTGTCCCCCAGACCACGCGCAGGCAACCCCTGTCGTGCGCCGCAGACCCGACACTTTGGATGCTTTCTTCCCATTTCGGGGAGGGGCCGTTCCTTTCTGACTCTATCCATGCACGAACGTCTT